TAAATTAAATCTGTTTATTTTTAATATGTTTTATAATTTTTTTTATTTATGTTTAGAGTTTTCAGTTAATCAATTTGGTTGTTTTGGTAGCAACGATAAATGGAGTGTATTCCGATGTGACAATAGATTTTAATAACCCTTTACCAGCCGTCGAAAAGGGAATAACTTACCCAATCACTAAAACTGTATACGAATTCCGCATAGCTGTAGTCAGTGACTTGGAGACGGATTCAAAGGTTCCCGGAGGGAATAATGCATGGTACACTTATTATAAAAAGGGATACCTGACCTACGATCCCAATTCTGAAGAAGTGTCGGTGAGATGGGACAGTGGCGAGGAAAGAGGTGACCAGTATTATACTAATGACGCAAATGAAAAAGGCCGAGGTTTTGAGCTTTCAGAAATTACAACTTTTGATGGTCATCTGATCGCTGCCGATGATCAAACAGGGATACTTTATGTATATGAAAAAGGAATATTTAAGTCGTGGTTGGCTGTTCCGATCAGTAAAGAAAATAGCGGTAACACATTTTTTTTTTTTTTTGCATAATATAACCTATAACTAAGAAATAATATATATATAAACATATATTGTTCAATGTTCATAGTACTTACATAGTATACTATATAAAACTATTGAACCTAAACATTATTTTTAAGACTGACGTTTATAATTTATTACATTGATCATGATATGATTATTTATGTAGTATTAAAGTATGTTTTTAGATGATAGTAACTCGTCAATATGTAAATATTCATAAAATTGTATTTCATTTGATATGCAGACGCTGATTCCCCCGACCATCATCCAGGTGAAGTGATAAAAGAAATCAATGCTAACGGTGACCAACCCAAGAGAACCGTAGGTAAGAATAACAATTTAATATTAATTATTTACGGCGGTTCTTATAGTAAACATTTGTGTTTGACGGCGATATGCTTTTAAGTTTTTATACTGTCAACGATTGCTGCTGAACATAATTTTGTTTTCGTTATTGTTATGCTTCAGTCGAAAAAAATAAGTTTTTTTGATAAGTTTAAACATTTAATTTCGACCTTAGTTTCTCACTTAAACGGCTGAATATTTAATTTGAGTGCTTAATGCAGACATTGTTTTTCCATTTGACGTATTCAGGTATTGAATCAATATTAAAAGTACATTTTGATATTCGTATCTTAAATAATGATTACGAACCTTATATTTAGCACAATATAATCTACTATCGCGTTCTAGTATGCGATAGATGTGTATTGGCAATAGAATAGTGAAACACCTACTGCTTTATGTCAACACGCACGAATAGTGCTCGAATCGGGGGTACAATAAGTGCATCTGTTTTAAATTTTACAAAGTAAATTATCATCATTATTATTTATTCTGTATTCCATTTTTTTCTCCATGTGATAACAAAATAGATATTAGTAATTTAACTTCTAGCTAAATATTATCTTTATCTTACAAAATTAAGAAACAATTTTGTAAAAAATATATTTATGTAAATAAATACCTCCGTTTATAATTTAATAATTTTAAATACCTACATCATAACAAATAAATTAATATGTAATCAAATGCTTGTAGTCTGAGTACTCATTGCTTTTCTTTTGTTTTTTTGACTCGAGCATTGTATTGCTATACGATTATATATTTTAGTTAGAAATTACCTTTATTTCGGTGTTGCAAATTATGATATTACATTAATATACTAATAATAACATATTTTTTTTGTAAAGTGATGCCAATAGAATGGGCCACGGTTAAGGACGATCATCTGTACGTGGGGCCAAATGGCCGAGACGGATTAAATTTTGTGGCCAAAATAAATAAAGACAGACAAATAGAATTCATCGATTGGGAAAAAAATTTCAAAGCACTCAAGTCAGTTGTTGGAGTAGAAAGTGGGTACATGGTCCACGAATCGTGCGTCTATAGTGATGTACATAAAAAGTTTTACTTATTGCCAAAAAGAGCATCAGAAAAAGCCTTCAATGAGGAAACAGACAATGAAAATAACTCAAACTGGCTTTTATCTCTAACAGATGAAAATGGTGATAAGCCGACGGTCAAGGTAAATACAATATAATAATATTATTATATTATAATATATTATTTTTCAAATGTACAAACCGATTTGAAAAATAATATCGTATATGAATAATTTTTAGATAATAAATAATAACCAGATGATTTATATTTCTAAACATATCTATGTCTAATAATGACTAATTTTCAATAATCTCTCCTATTGAAATTGATTATCTACGGGACCGTCCTATCGTGAACGAGGGGTCCGCCAGTAACGGCAGTCTTCAGCACAAGGACTGTGGATAGCCGAAGTCACGGTCCGCACTGCCATCGAATCAATGGTCCTCACGACTGCCAAACGGAGAAACCCCCCCCCGACGCGCTTCTTCGAGCGACCATCCCGTGCCGCTGGTCCGGTTCCGACCTCTCCGATCCCGGATTGCCTATTTTGTATCAAACGTCGCAACAACTACCCATAACTGTTTCGACGTCTCGTCTCCGCAAGCCCGGTACCCCCCTGCCTCTGCCCGCTTTTTCAAAACCCGGCCTATGTGGTTTACGATAAATTTAAGCCCCCGTACTTATGGTACGCATATATACACGCCATAAAACCGCGTATATTATTCATTCACGAAACGGTAAGCACACTAAATGGCACCGTCTCAACTTCAAAGTTCAAGTACTTTTGTCAAGTCGTAACTGCGCCTTTTTCTAAACCAGTCCTAGTAGCGCACTATCAGCAACACACCAAAACAAAAATTTTTGTTTTTCGGTGAACACGGAAGTGGATTGCAAGGTGGCGAGTAAACGAAGGGAGGAGCTCCTTGATCGCCACTTTAAATCGCTCACGATACATAGTATCCATACGTTCAACAGTGTATTATGTTATCTAAAATGTGTTGTATTCTCTTATTTTAGAAAGAAGCTGTAATCGTTCAACATCCGGATTACTCCGATCGGGCCTATACTAGTTTTAGGTTTATTCCCAATAGCAATGACAATCTTATTGTTGCATTACAATCCTCAGATAAACTCAACGCCACGTACATTACGGTATTCACCATCGACGGAAAATCGATATTAAATTCAACCAAAGTGTCCGATATACAGTATGAAGGGTTGGAATTTATATAATTACCTACGTTTACCGTAACTTCTCTATCTAATGATTAATTTTTATTTCAATACGAATATATCACAGATAAGTTTTCAATAAAAACATTCTCGTATTTTTTTCTATAACGATAGGTATATTTTATTGTTGTGCTTATTATATTTTTAATATTTAAATGATATTTAACTATTTAGATTAATACAATGTGTCATGTTTGAAATTTGTTAAAATCTAATACCTATTGTAGATTGTAATATTATATGTGGAAATAAAACATCATATTTTAATGTTAATTGTATTTGTTCTTATGACGCCACATGATATCTTCCCTTAAAATTGACCGTGTTTTTTTTGCCAAATGACGATTTTGCGATACACATCGTTTTACGCAGTTAAGTTGCATCATACCAATGAAATTATAGAGAAAAATGTAAAAAAAAACGTTTTGTAATAAAAATGAAATTAAAAAATCTTTGATAAATTAGTATGTACAAAATCGTATATAAAATGTGTAATTATTTATTATAAGTATAGTGTAAAGTAAATTGTGGGGATATTACCTCTATGGGGCTGTGAAGTATTTATAATTGTACTTTGTAGCACCCCCAAGGTTGGTGGTCTAGTTGTGTCTATGACAGTAGTATGTTAAAACTGCGGTTTTTCTTGGAGAACAAAACCTAAACTCCAAACTGTATCTCCACTGAATAGTGGACGCAAATGCGATAATCAAGAGCCATTGGAGGTGATTGGAAGGGGCTAGCTGAGACTGTAACGCAAGCACGTTGAGAACATTAGTACTATCTTTAGAGTTTATTGTAACCAAATACTACACATTTGTATGGATGAGAAGTGCTCACTGCAAAAAATTGACGTCCAATAAAATGCAGCAATGAGAATAAACACAGGGACAGTCAGAAACACTCTGTTAACCTAGCCTAACTAATTCAATGATTTGTATTAGTCCAAGATTAAAACAGTCTGAAATCAATATCCATATCCTTGGTTACCTTATCTTTACAACTATAGTGATAAACAGGGTCAGGGCCGGATTTACCTACAAGCAAAATAATCATTGCTTACGGCCATCGAAAAAATTCGGCCCGTAAAATGTCTAGTTTTTAAAAATTAATTATANCCAACGAAAAACAATTCTCAGCGGAGTTCAGTTTATAGGGTTGCTATCTCAACAGTATGTGTGCCACATTACGGTGAAATAATTACATATTACATTATGCCTTATATATTTTTTTTAATAACATTTGTTTAATATTGTGTATATTTTCCCGGCTTTTACCATGTTTTTCTCATTTATCGTTAAAACTACTGGATACCACCTCAGTCAGATTTTCTTTCGGAAAAAGTTTTACCATTGTTAAATGGAGCAAAATTGCCAGTAAAAAAGCTGTTCACTGAAAAACAAAAATTAATTTTTAAAATATAATTTTTTTCCATGACTTTTTAAATAATTTATTTATTATTGTAGGATGTACAATACGCAGATGGCTTATTTAATTTACAAAAACTAGTATAAGCATTAATTTATTTGTTAAAAAAAATATTTGCTAATTATTCGGGAGAATTTAATTATGATAAATACTTAAGTCTGCATCAAGTAAAACACAATCAAATTAGACGATTTGACCAGACTGACTGATATTAGCACTATTTTCCGGAAATAATGATCAAGTTAGGTCCAAATTCAGCGTACCTTTCGAACTATTACTATTGATTTTTATGCCAAGGAAATATTCAGCTTCACTGTTTGTCTTTTTAAATTATCTTCTCTTTATTGTAATTATAACTAGCTATTAAAATAGTATCAATATGTGTGGAAATAAACAAATTATTAATGAGTTAATGATATTAAATAAATTATATTATACGTTGAATTTACCTCTTTTGTACATTATCAATTTCACACCAACAACAGTGGTCCACCCATTGTAAGAAGTATGTCAATATTTATTTTTAATTTCGTTTTTAAAATCCAATTTCGATAAAAATTGTAAATATTACAGCTTTTCAAATCATTTAAAAACGAAGTTCGATCAGAATAGTTTTTTGATATCATTGGTTTATCGTTGATTACGGATATAAATTAAATAACATAAAGTAACCTATCTTCCTATATACCTAACTTCCCACCTTCAAGAGTAGCGTATCCATTATCAGTATCAAATCATTTTTTTTAGATTCGAAGCGTAGCGACAGATCTATTGGTTTTTTCTAATATGATGTGTGTTGTGTTGTTTTTTTCCGCCTCTAAAAAACTTTTCTACGAAAAATCTTGCTCTGAAGTATCAAAATGTACCATCGTTTTTGAAAGGTAATTTTTTCTCGTCGGTGTAATGGAGATATCATTTTTAATTTAACTGTGGTTTTCAGAACAATTTAGAAAAATCTGTAAATGTTTACGGCACCCAGCGGCGCGGCGTTTATAGTTTTCATTGTTTTTAATTTATTCTAATTATGTTTTCTGCAAGAATAATTGTTCCAATCGAAAAATGACCGAAAAAATAATCGATTTTGTTCCTCTTAATATACGGCCACTGATAAAGAAAGCCGTTTTTTGGTATCAAAAGTAGTTTTCATAAAAAAAAAACAAATAAGACGAAACACGAAGAATTTTTCAAATTACGGCGCAACGATTTCATTATTTAAAACTTTTATTATAAGTTTATAAGATTTTTCTACCAGATATCTTTGTCCAAATTTCAAGAATAGCTTTTTTTTTAAATAAAACTTTGTGTAATTAGTGAGTAGGAAAGTCTTTTATTTATATTTTGTAAAGTTTTCCTGATAATTACGAAAAACCGAAAAAAATCGTAGGAAATACAGCAAAGCGTAGGGCATTTGGGTTTATTGCTGTTATTCAGTTTTTTAAAATTTCAATTTTAAACTATTATAGTTTAAAAAAAAAAAAAAAACATTATTCAGCCTTTTGTAGATTTGGTAAAATGCTCAAAACAGCTACTTTTAGGCTATAAATAGGTATTTGTTTTTTACACATATGCTCACAAATAAAATTGTGTTTTTGATTTGCCAAGTCGTTTTTATAAAAATTGTGTAAACCCACAAATTTACGATGTACGATTTCATTATTTTACATTTTTACAGCTTATATTTTCTACCATAAATATTGTTTCAATTTAAAAATAACACAGATTTTTTTGTTGAATTTTTAATCTATTTGGTGAGAAAGGAAGTCATTTTTTGACTTTTCTCGTAATATTTTTATTAATTGAGCAAAATCGAAAAAAACATGCAATTTTACGAAATTAGTACTCTTCTTTTTTTTATTTTTTTTTTTTGTTTTAATTCTACTTTAAAAAAAAAATTCAGTGTAATTTAGTATTTTTTTTTTTTTTTTTTTTTTTTTTTTTTTAATAGTTAAATCAAATTTTAGCGTAAATCGTAAATATTACGGCTTTTCAAAACACATATAATCAAACTTCGCTCAAAATAGTTTTTCGTTATATTGATTGGGTTTATTGTTAGTTACGGATATAAATTAAATAACTTTATGTCTCCTTCTTCCTCAACTTCCAACCTATAACAGTGGCGCACCCGTTCACAGTGTTAGCTCTCTAATTTTTGTATACATAAACAAATTTTCTAGCAAAAATATTGCTCCGATGCGTGGTACCTTTTCTGGAAGAAAACTGTCTCTAGTTAGTGTTATTTTTGGATTTTCATAGCGGTTTCAAAATATTGGGAAAAACTGAAAAGAAAATTGTACAGGTAAACCTGCAAATATTTACAGTGCGCCGCGGAGTTACCGATTTCATTGTCTTTAATGTTTGTGTAAATCGTATGTTTTCTTCTAGAAATATTGCTCCAATGTCTAGCTACTGATAGAAAAGTTCTTTTTTTGATTTTTAAAGCAGTTTTCATGATTATTATTGGAAAAATTAAAAAAAAGACGAAACGTACGATTTTTTTTTTTCAAATTACAGCATATAGATTTCATTATTCAAAATGTTCAAGATCGCTTATGTCATAAATTATTATTTTATTATTTTTAATGTTCTAATTTTTTATAACTGTTGGTTGCAAAAATAGAAAATATTTTATTATTTTGTAATAATGAGTTCACCTAGTGTTTCATATATTTTAATAGTGTCTACCACGCATCACATGACAAATTCAAATCCAACAGCCATTTTTCATTGATTTTAAAATCTTTAATTTTATCATTTTTAAATTTAAATTTAAATTTAAATTTTTAAATTTATATTTTCTTTCTTTGCACTCTTATACTACAGTTGCAGGTCATTCAACCAGAGTATTAACATTGAAAAATACTATACACAATCGTCAAACTAAACCATCATATCCATCAAATTTAATGGAACTTTTTTAGTGTTCCTGACAATTTTAAATTTACAATGAATAGTGAAGTATTTATTCAGTTTGATTATAGTTCCAACGTTTCTAAACGTGTTTAAATATTTACAACAAGAAGAAATCTTAAACTGATGACAAAATATTTATAACTAGTTTTGTGGTGGAACATTTTTTTGTGTTTCCTAAATATTTTCATTACTGTACACAATTCATATAACATATTATCCAAGCGTTATCTCTTCTATTCATGTTGTATTGCCTGATATGCATGTGACTTGTCACATTTCTGGTCTTTTTTGGAGGGGTAGGTGTTCTAGTATTTTTAGATTAATTGTCTTGTGATCATTTAAACTTTGATAATTATGAATGCTGAATGTTCAGAACTCTACCGGTTGTTATCGTAAAATTATATGCGTGCTTTGACGATTGGCGTTTTGAAGACATCTGTTGCATCGGCCGAAGAGAGGCGGGCGTGTTGTATTAGCGAAGGCTCTTTGGCCCGCATTTCCGGTACTCGGATCCGAGAATAATGTCTAACGCAAAAGGTCACTTCGTGCCTGCTCTGAAGTGCCGTCATCTATTGGTATAATATCGTCGTTATGATATACAAGGTGTGACGGTGGCGGTAAGCCTGTTCGGGTGTACAAAACCCCCCTCCCTGTCAACTAGCAGAGTCATTCCCTACCATTCGTTCTGGGCGGTTGCCGATGAATATCCGCCGCGGTCGGCCGGGTGACCGTTAATTTTCCAGTTCACGTCTTAGCGCGTGGTCCGTTTAACCAACAGCAGCATAGAAAACCCAGAGTATCAATCCCCTGGAAGTGGTTCGTGAACCGACGTAGTAGTGATGATAATGATGTCCTGTAATCGGATGACAATAACGGCGCGTTAAACTAGTGTTTTCTTCGGTTTGTTTAAAAAAAAAATTCTTACGCGTACTTGCCACTGCACTATTTTGTGATTAATTAAAAAATTGAAACAAAAAATCCATTACAGTTTCTCCGAGTGCAGTAGATCACAGGACGTCATACGGCCAATATAGGACGCTCCTGGACGATATATCCGGTTCCTGAGTCATGCGACCCGATACATGGTCGACGGCGTTTCGCGTAGCTTTCGTCACGTTAATGCTCACCAATGCCGTGTACACGTCAAAAAAAGTAAGTCTTTTAACCAGTTTCTCATCAAAATAGAAATCGTGTCACTTTAGATGTCGATTTCCGAGGCCCGCCATTAAAAAGTTAAAAATTAAATTAATTTAAAATTTTGAAATTGTAGATTTTAACCTGTAATTTTTAGTTTTATCAAGTTAGGGCATTCGAAAGACTAGGCTTTAAAAATAACGAGTTTGTTTCAAACGATACCACATTAATGTTAGGCAACATCAATTTGTATTATTTAAATTCAAACAGATTTTATTTTTGTCATATTGAAAAATACAAAATAAAAAAAAATTCAGGGATCAACTATAATATTAATATGATGACAATTGTTCTATCGTACAATATAATTTAAAATTATATTATTAACTTAACGTAGTTAGTTAACAGTATGATTAATTGTTAACTATTTGTTCATTTGGCTCAGTTTCCTTAGCCTTGTAAATATGTTTAATAATCATCACTCGTTACTAAACATAAATTATATAGTACATGTATTATTAAACACTTTAAATAATAACAATGACTTTAGAATCAGTACAATATCATTACAATTTTATAATCGTGAATAAGTACACATTTTTAAAACGCGATTTTTTTTCATTTCAAATTTTCATCGCAAATAAAACCGTGCTTTGTATCAATAAACCATCTTTATGGATAGTTTATTTATAATATAATAAAATAATAATAATACATTTATTGCAACATCAACAAGTTTTTACATCAAAATTTCGTTCACGAGTACAAAATTGCAGCACCCCTTCCCCTCCCCCGGTAAGCAATGTTTGTGATAGAGGAGCAGTTCTTAAGAATATAAATAAGAGGACAAATATAATAGAATACAATTTGGTATGAATAAATATAAATAGTATCTAAAGACAAATATAAATCGCATAAATGGCCCGTATCGAACAATTTATATTGTATAATATATAAATGGAATATCGAAAATATATTTATTTTTTTTTTCCATTTTATTAATAATTTATTTTTGATTCTGAGTGGAACTCGTTCCTTGGAATGTATTGGTATTACAATGATGTTTATTTTTTTTTAATGTGAACATTATTTCTACCAAAGAACGCACTCCGATTATCAAGTATAACACCTTTTCTGAAAGGAAATTTTCTCTGGGTGGTACTATAAAAAGGTAATTTTTTGAAATTCGCATTAATATTCGAGATAATGAGGAAATCCTCGGTCAATGAAAGATTGAAAGATTAAAAATAAGGTTCTCATTGGCAACCGTTTTTATTCATTTTTCGTTATTATTAAGTTTTTATTTTTATTTTTTTCTAAACAATCATTATTGTCATGGAAATGCACATTGTTTTAATCATTTTATCATAATATGGCATAATACCATATATTGTATTGTTGACATAGCAAAATTATCAACTGAACTCAGCTCAGAATCGTTTTTTCGTTATCAATGGTTTATCGTTGCTTACAGATATACATTAAATTTCCATCTATAGCCTACCTTCCCAACTTCCCATCTATAACAGTTGTTGTACCCACGTGTGAAGTATGTTCCTTCTTTTTTAATGTATTTTTATTTAAAAGAAAAAAAAACAATGTAAACAATGTATACAAATATGGTATAAAAAGTAAGTCTGATGACCAATTGACAATGACACTTAAGATTAGAATAGGAAGGTTCCCAGCGGTGTCACCTGACAAGTTTAAGTTAATATTATTATTTTTTTTTGCAATTCCCTAGATCATTGCCTTTTAGCCTTCGTGGGATACGAGTAATTGAAGAAAGTCTTTAAATTAGCGGATTGGAGAATGCAATTAAAAACTATGAATCGTTTAGGAGTTACATGATTAGGTACCTGCATAAAAGGATAAAGTTGTAAGTTTTATGCAACTAATCAAGAGTGATGGGGTGTGTTATTAAAAATAGCAATCGATACTATTATTGAAGGAAAAGATTAGTACTTGCACAGGTTAGTGTACAGTATAAGGTTCTAAAAGAATAGTTAATTTTTCAATATAATATTATTCTATTCTATTATTAATGAAAAAAATAGCATGCATAATACGGTATAGATAGGTCCTAATAGGGTACAGATTTAAACGCAAAGAACACGTTTTACTTTTATTTTTTTATTTTTAGTGCTTTTGCTTTTGACAAATTCATTACAAATTCATAATTTTATGCATGTAACAAATAAATTAAAGGCAAATTTATTGGGATTCTAAGCGGAGCGAGGAATGTATTGGTTTTACAATGATATTTTTTCCTGTGAACAACTTTTCTACCAAACATTTCGCTCCGATTTTCAATTTTAGCACTTACTCTGAAAGAAATTTTATCTGGGTGGTACTTTAGAGAGAAAATGTTGTGATTTTTAAAGCGGTTTTCTTAATAATTGGGAAAAACAGGAAAAACCGGTAATATTTACAAAATTTATTGTCTTCGATTTTATTTTTGTTGTGATTCAATTAAAAATATGTATAGAGATTTGAAATTTAGATATAAAACATATGTTTGTATTTTCTAGACGTAGCCATTTTAGTCATTTTTAAAGTGTTTATAGACATTTTAATTGTGAAAAAGTTTTAAAATAAAATTTTAAATGGTAAATATAATAGTCTTTCAAAACATGTATAACTGAACCTCACTCCGAATCGTTTTTCGTTTGCAACCGTTTATCGTTGCTTACAGATGTAAATTAAATAACTTTATTTATCCTACCTTCCCAACTTCCCACCTACAATAGTAGCACAATCGTCCCTTGTATCAGATCTTTGTTTTATTTCATTTTATTTTATTATTTTTTTTTTTTTTTGGTGCTTTACGACAACACAATACAATACACCAAATAAATCATTCATGTAACAGATGTTTCTAAAATTAAACTCTTTTTGGATTTATTGCTATTTTTCCTTTCTCGGGTCATTGTAGATTCAGAGCGTAGCGTAGCACCTTTTCTGAAAGGTAATTTTCCCTCGTTGGTGCATTGGGGAAGTTATTTTTCGATTTTTGTATGGGTTTTTCAAATAGTCCGAAAAAACCCAAAAAATAAAAGTACAGGTAAAATGGTAAACATAAATGGAGTACCGCGACGTTATCGTTTTAAAATTTTCAAAATATTTTATCTATTTTTGAGCTAATTATGGACATTTTAATTTTGCGAGTTTACAGGGAAAATGTCTTTTGTTTCGAAAAATGAAATTGAGTGTAATGTAGTATTTCTTTTTCTTTTTGTAAGTTTTTAAATCAAATTTTGACGAAAATTGTAATTATTACGGTCTTTCAACACCTGTGTAACCGAACTTCGCTCCGAATCATTTTTCGTTGTCAATGGTTTATCGTTGGTAACAGGTATAAATTAAATAACTATATATTCTACCTTCCCCATTATCAACCTAAAACAGAGGCCACTCAAGTCTCCAATATTAATTATTTTATTTTTAATTGAGTTATTCGATTTAAAGCTATTTTTAAGGTATTTTTTTTTTTTTATCGTTTTTCAATCTAGACCCGATATAATTAATCACTTATAATTAGTTTTTTTCTGTACATGGGTATTGAGAGCTTTTCGAACTCGCCAAAATACACATCAAAGCTTAATTCAAGTATTTAAGTGTACCTATAGTCATGCGATTTTTTTAACACAAGACCCAAGAGAGCCCACATGCATAGCTCCATCTTTAGAGAACAAATCCACAAAATAAAATAATGTATCTATACGATAATCCGAACCACGGTCTTTGTTCAATTCAATTATACAAACAGCACGTGCATACGCATCGCATGGATTAATTAGTTACCAATACTGTTTATTATAATATCGACAAAAAAAAATTGGATAATAGTTAAATGTTAATATTATTATCAGTTTGATAATCACCATTAGCAAGCTAAAATAACTATCAACAAATCATTGAAATATTATGCAAAACTGATCTTCAGTGGAAATAATTTTTTTAATTGTTATTTTTTCAAACAATAGTTTTGCAATATGTATCTGTATCCAATCGGGATCTAATTCATATAACTAATAATAGCTGCACCGCTGGAGCCATATCTCGTACGCAGCTTTGTTCTCGCATAATCGCGGACTTGCGCGACTTTGTTTACATTATTTTAGAACATGGCGAACTGCAACGAATTTGACATTTTTTTCTAAAAGTCGAAGTGTAAACTGTTTCAGAAAACAAAATCCTACAAACTGCGATAAAACCGAATAAGTACACTGTTTTGTATTGTAGGGTTTTTTTTATACTATTTGTAGGTAACAAAATATGAAATTTCATTACAAACAATAGTCCATTATTTAACACCATAAGATACCAAGAAAAATAATCAAGACTAATATTAAAAGTTATACATTTGTAACTGTCATTGATTTTAAACGAAATGAGATGGGATTCATAAGATTATATACGCACTTTTGATCATACTTTAATGATAGATGTCTGCAGTAGGAGTGCATGTTCCGTACCTACAATGTACTTATAAAAGTTAAAAAGTTAAATTTGTATACATTACATATAGGTAGTACCGACTTTGATGTTTACCCGAAACGGTAAACAATTATTTGTATTAAATAGTTTTGAATTTAAAATGTATTATGAAACAAAAAATAAAAAAATAAATACCTAAAAAACCATGGATATTTTGTAATACGAAGCGTATAGCAAAATTATAACGGCAATAATATTTCACAAGAAAAATCATAATTGGTAATTTTATTTTATAATTTTATATTTTCATAAAAACTTTATGTATTGGTACACTATTTTTAGCATATTATTATTACAAAACAATTTTTATTATAAATAATATTTTTAACAAAATTTTCGCAGTTAGTATTATGTACCTTTTCAGTTTCATCGTAGTTTGTATAATTTTTTTTTTCTGTCGCAGTTGATATTCATCCGCTATTTCATATGGCAAGACAACGTGATAGCCATATAAAATTAACAGTTTCAATTTCATAATTATTATTATTAACTGAAATACGGTACAAATTACACTTAAAGGATGAAAATAAAATTAAGATAAGATACGATTTAATACAATCACCATGCGCAATAGACACAATTATTTTCTAAATTAATAACGGTTTTAATAAAATTAATCACCCTGTGTATATCTATATATTAAATACGAACATTTTGAATATGGAATGAGTATAGATTAAGAGGTTAAGTTGTAATGAGTATTTGATTAAGGTCCGGCTTAAGTGCTTTTTGGGAAACGGTATACTTAAACGATTACCCAATAATATAAAATTGTCAACAAAATTATAGGAAAAGGTTAACATTGCAGGTATTAAGGAGGCGTGATACCCGCATGTGTTGTTTCCGTCCTTCTAAACGTATGCGGCATAGGAAATCTGCGTTCAGCAGGGACATCATTATGCTGTTAGTTTTAATATTACAGTGAATTGACCTTTTATCAAACTTAAAAATAGAAACCTTATCTGTGCAATGTTGGCATTATATTTTTAATTTTAAAGCAAGTTACAAGCATTGTTAAATTTTAATATTTTACGCCATATTTATAACCCTCTTAAAAATTAAAATATCGAAAAAATACGGCAAACGTTACACAGAATGTCCTTATCTTCAGTTTTATAAAAGGTCATTTCACTGTAATATTTAAACTAATAGCATAACATTGTCCCTACTGAACGTGAATTCGCTGTATCTTATGTTCGGAACTTTGCAAGACGGAGACACCGCGTGCCGGTATCACGTCCTATTAATTTTTTGTAATAGTCTCTTTATCTCAATTTATTAAAACCTAAATATTACAATATTTGAACAGTTAAATATGCGATTTCATTATTTATTTTTCGTGTGGATTACGAAAATTTGCAATATTCGCAATTCTAGTTTTCAATGCGATAAATTTGTGATTGAGGAACTTGTAAATCACATAGTGGTCCGATTTAATAATATTAGTACCTAGTTCAAGTAAATTGAAGTACGGGGTTTTGAAATACGATCGAGACGTTTGCTCGACTGCAGTGGTAGGTAATTATTCAAAATATTGATAGTCATACAATTTGAGTTCAGAAAACCTGTAATAAGAGATTCAATCGGGGAAAATAGCTATGGTATTAAGAGTTAAGAAGGTATAGAAAAGGATTGATTAGGTTTGTGACTTTGGTGAATTTTAGTCGATTTTGTGGTTAATTGGAGGTTTGTTATTGAGATTAAATTCAGTAAGTTTACGATCGTGTTTATTTGTTTTTGTTACTTATTCAATTAATTTATCGTCGAACATTTTGAAAATCAGCAAAACAAACGTATTCCTGCGATAACGTAAAACAAATTATTATAATATAATATATTAATATATTACTTTATTATATTTGACTATGATGATTTTTATTCGTCTTTCTTCAGCCTGTAAACAATTTTCTATCAGAAATCTTGTTCCGATTTTCAAGTGTAGCGTCTTTTATGAAAAACCGGGAAAACACGCATTAAAAACAAGAAAATGTAAATACTGCAATAATAATCTAATTATTTTCAATTTTGTTTTAGATTTTGAGCGATTATCAGGAATATATTGGTTTTACAATGATGTTTATTATTATATTTTTTTTTTTATTGTATGTGTACAAGTTTATTTTAGTTTTCATTTAGTTTTATGTAATTAAATCTGTTTTAGCCAAACAGAAGTCCTCCAAAATTTAACACGAACATATTATATGTAGTGTTAAAGTCGTTTTTTTAGACGTATTTTATATTGTAATATATTGAAAAAAAAACATAACCATCACGATATTTTAAAACACGTTTATTCAAACATCTCTTGGAATTCGTTTTCACAAGCAATGATTTATCTTTTCATTCAGAAATGCAAATAACTCTATATGTTTCTTACCTTTCCATTTTCCACCTACAACAGAGAACAGGTGCACATCCGTCAGTAGTTTTATTTTGTTTTAATCTGTATTCAATATTCAGTATAGTAATATACGAGTATCACACTCTAGAATAGTTAATTAAATAGGAAAAAAAAATGTAAAAAAAAAAAAAAAAACATTTCTCGCCCGTATGGTTTTTAGGCGTTGGTGCAATATTACGACTACGTTACTTCTCCATCAATTTCACACAGTCACTTTGTGTGTTACTAAATGCAGTATAATTACATACAGGTGTTATGTAATACAATACAAAAATATAGCACAAAATAAAATACTGCATGACACGGAATAGCGAAATTCAATTATAAGATAATATATTAGATCTAGTAGTCTGATCTAGTAAATGATAATGTTATAGTAAATCTACATATTATTTTCAATTTTGATACGTATAAATGTAATCAGAGTATTATATTGTTTGTCATTATCCTTAATATTTAAACAGCCAGCAAAAATTGTTCAACGTTTATGGCGTCATAATATGTTAATAATAGTTGTTATAATAATAACAAAATTTTTTCGCTTCAAAATATATATCTTTTAATAATTTAAATACTTAAAAATAACTCCAAAATAATAAAATTTTAATCATGTATCATATTTCAGATTCCGAGCGTAGCGAGGGAGCTATTGGTTTTACTAAGACGTTTATTTATTATTTTTTTTAGTCTGTGGACACGTTTTTTTTTAATAAACTCGCTCCGATTTAAAAGGGCAGTAACTTTTCTGAAAGCTCAAGTTGCCTAAATTGTACTTTAAATGTATATTTTTTGATTTGCAACGCCATTTTTTAAATAAAAGCACTTAAGTGAGAAAAAACGTATGAAAACGTACAATTTCACGATTTTATTATTTTATAAAAACACGGACGGTATTATCTACCAGAAATAATTTAATCAAAAAATCACAAGATACCTTTTTTATTGCCTTTTTGATTTACTTTCTTAAGGTATCGTTGTCAAAACTTTTGAGCTACTTTTGGACTTTTAAGGAATTTTAATTTTTGGAAGTTTTTTTGCTGTAATTCGGTTATAAATATACTTAGACCCTTGAAACTTGGTAATAATACTTCTGTTGAACTTACTTAGACGTGATACGATTTTCAAAATCATCGACGACTTTTTTATTATTAATAAGCGTTTTGAAATCAAATTTTGACGAAAATCGTAAATATTACGGCCTTTCAAAAAACATATATAACCGAACTTTGCTCTGAATTTGTTTTCGTTATCATTGGCTTATCATCATTTACAGGTATAAATTAAATAACTAAAAATAAATTAGTTTGTAATTAATTTTAATAAACTACAATTGCTCGTATTTTTAACAAATTGTATCAAATATTTAAACTTACAACGTTGATGAAAATAATTTATAAAATACTTATTCATTTAAAGCAAACAAATTTCAAATATAGATATAAATAATTATTTATAAATAATTTATTTATATATAAAAATATTTTCGTTTTTCAGAGGTTTTTTTTTCGAGGTTTTCTCGTCACTAAGATAACGGAAATGTTAATAAAATATCGTCGTATATTTTTGTTTATTTTTTGAAAAATTTAAGCATGATTATTTTTTATCGGCTATTAACTTTGGTTTGGATTCTTTTTGTCGTTATACATGATTACATAAGTTCTGACAAAGCTACTTATGTGTGTGATTCAGTAATTAACAATATAGAAATAATAAAACAAATAAAAAAACACCGTTTAATTTATGCGCGAACCAAACTGTGACATTAAATGACATTAAATGTCATAATACAGCAAGGGCATCGCACAGCTATAATATAATGTATTGTATTAAAATAGCCGAGTGTATTCTTTTCAAATATTAACTCAGTTAAACATTAGTAAACAGTTATATACATAATGCATATTGAAATAAACAAAAAAATTATACATTCGTGTGGTAAAGAGGTGGTGTCATTTTTTTTCCGTTTCAATTATTAGTAAGTATATTTGTGTGTTTTTTTACGAGGCACGAAAAGTTTCGAACAACATTTTGAATAGAAAAATAAAACACGGCTTTACGGTTGCTTAAAGCAAAGTAGCGGAAGAACGATAAATAGGAATGGTAAAATAAAAACAGTATAGGTGATTAGGTGATACACTTATTATTATTATCGTTTTATCATCGTCGACTAGCCCGCGTAATAATTTTTTTTTTTTCTGTGCGACGTTGCCCCGGGCGCTTTTCGATACGGATATCTGATTAGAGGACAGCAGCATATCTAGGAAGTAATTTTGTTCATCAGTCACCACCGTTGTCGTAGAATTATAATTTTTGGCATCACTTGCTTTCTACTGAATTATTATTATCGTGAGCGGCGGTATGTTTGCACGGTAGTCCACGTAATAATAATGTAGCGACAATAATGTGCATCATCATTTTAACGTGATCTCCATGACCACACCACAAACCAGAGTAAATCTCAATGGTAAATAATTAATTAACTATATACACCATATTTCATTTGTGTATATACTAAAAAAAAGAAAAGTGTATGCAGCTGTACCGTGTTGAATGAACGCGTATCTTTTATTTCGATTCGTTTGGAATGTATAATTCTTGTTATAGTTATTAAGGAGAAACATGTTTATATATATATATAAAAGGGGTATTTACGTTTTTTATATTTTAATAATATTCAAAAATTGAACAGTTGCGAAGTTATACAGTCTTATTCTCGGTGAGACACTCATTATCTCGATCTTTTTTTCGGATTTTTTTTTTTTTTGACCGCTTGGAAACGAATAGCTCTAAAATGCCATTAATGACACCCTTATTCGATGAGACCATTATCCATTTTTGATTTTCAAATAAAAATTTGTATTAAATATTGTCGAAATAGATGGAGATTAAGTTTAAAATTTAAATACATTTCGGTGTAAAGATGAAAATCTCAACAGCTTATTTTTTTATTTCTCATTCCTGACTTTCAGAAACCTTCGTGAACTCTGTCCGTCTGCCTTTATCTTAGCCATCCCATGGACCGTGTTTTTTACGTAATTCTTATTTAAGGCTAATATTTTTATTTACATAAGACTATTGACACTAGATAATAAATATTATACAATCGAGGCTGGTACATAGAGTAATAAAATTGTTGAACCACGGCTATAGATATAAATGGTTGCGCTACGGTCTTCAGCGCACTCGGATTCGTACCCCCATTGGGTGACTTCTGGATCCACTACTGATCCAATTGGATCTTCTGATCTCCACGAATACTCTCAAATTATTCCACTGTTCTTCAAGACTCAAACTATACAAACTTTGTTATATAGGTTTTTAATTAATTTGTCTGTTCTTATTTCACATTATCCTTAATTATTTCTTTTAGTTTTAATACTTCGAGTAAATTTTGTCCTCAGCAAAAACGTCAGTTGTTCCGTGAACATTTGTTGCCATACTTTGGTGGTAAAATACCAGACTCCGCATTCCTAGCCGACCGTTTATCGCTAAATATGTTAAACAAAGAAGGGATATCCGTGCCTGACGGAGTTCTATTCGAAACCAGGCCCAAAGAATCGTTTTACCAAAGTTCGCGAAACGACCCGGAACTATCGAACTCAATAGTCAAAATGGTGCACACGTCTGACGGAAGGTTAGCTAAATTTTAGATATCACGTATTGTAGCGAGTGGGATAGGCATTCTGTACACGAACACGGTTTATTTTTATATTCATATACAACGTGTTGTAGGTTCGTCCCTTCGGAAGGCCAGCATAGTGAGACTGACAACGAAGTGGAGACTACGTACAAAATCCTGCTACCCGAGAACGTCCAGAATTATCAGCTACCAAAGTTCAGGCCCATACCTGAACCGCTGCAGCTGCCAGTCCGGCCACAACTATATGAAAACGCTTTGCCAGTGACTCCGGTTAGGGGGCAATTTGGTGCTCCTTTCTTCAGCATGCCTCAGGTAAATCATCTGTAAAAATAAAATCTTCGATAGTGAATATTATCCTATACGTATTCAAAGATATTTAATTTATCTTCCATCGCATTATTTGTTTTATTTAGCGATACGTTTAACAATATGGTAGTATAAGGTTTACGATTTTCTAATTTTACACCAATTATAATCATTTGGCTTGGCTTTTCTTGCCTTATCGAAAGAGCCTTCATAATATATTTTTTGTTTTGTTTTTTTTTTATATTAAAATACTTAAGTATCCATCATTATTTCCTAACATACGAAATTTTGTAATTTTTAAAATTACTCGACTATTCCAATTCTCATACTTTATTACAAACTATAGTATTCCTAATGCAATAAGTAACTTACTTAACATTGAATAGGCAATATTTTTTTACAAATTACGTCTCAATTAAAATCGTAAAATTTATTATGAGTAATAGTATACACGTATTATTACGGTGGATAACAAATACTATATTCTTTATCTTACAGTGGTGAATCCAGACCAGAGTTTTTATACTATTTTATTGAGGGGGGAAAATTATTTACTACAAGAAATCGGGTATAAATTTTAAACAATTAAATCACTATAAAATAATATTAAACTATAGTATTTGTGGACTTGTGGAGAGGGACAATTGCTCCTTGCACAATTTTCCACCTTTGTATCTGCCACTGGTATCTTATAATCTCTCATTCCTAATGCTTTGGACGTAAAGTTTAGGAAACTCTAAAATGCCTATGAATCTTAGTAGGTTAAAGTATACCCGAAATTGTGGAAGAATATGAGTTGAATGACTGATGTTTTTCTTTTAATAAAACACGATACATTCAAATGTTAAAAACACCGTACAATACAAAGTATATTTTGCAATATTGCACCAATCTCTAACACCGCATTTAATTCTCCTAGACTTTCCTGTTCTTGGTACTTATACCTCTACGTCAATCGAATAAACTAACATTTTTATGTATATTTTTTTTAGTAAATATCCAATATTATAATAATATAACGTCAGTATAATATACGGTTTTAGGAAACAAACGAATTACACGTTCGACGTTCAACTATGCGATATTGTCTAACGAATACATAAATTCTGGTAAATTATTATACCTAGTAACCTAGCGAATAATTTGATTAAAACAATAAATGTTTTAAATTTTAAAGCGAATTCGTCTATATAAAGAGTGATCAAACCTTGATAATTGACTCATAATTTCAAAAAGTATTAACTGTTTTTAGAATTTTTTTTTAGATAATATGAAACAATCAACTATAAAATATTGCATGGCCGTTATTTGTTATGAATTTTTTTTTTGAGAGGTAAAACCACTACCGATTTTTAATTTTAAAAAATCAACACGTATTAAAAATTCTATAGTTAGATGAAAATTAAGTTTAAATACAATTTGCTATTAAGATTTCCAATTTTCGTCAACGGCGTTTAAATAATGCTCCTTAAAGTCTCTAAAAAAAAGGAGAATATAAAAAAAAAAGTTAAAACTTCCCGAGATTAGATAATAATAATTTATAATCCTTTTATCAAGGATTGATCACCCTGTATAAAGTCTTATTAGTGTTCTCGGATAGTTGTCTAAAAATTCAAACATTGTAACGAACTATGATATTATGATACACTATAATAATTGTTTTTCGATACTAATAATAAGTATCGCATAAGTATAATTATAGCAATAAAACAACATTATTGTACATTTGTATACATATTGAGCACATACTTGTATAATAATAATATATTACGTATGTAAATGTGATAATATTTTAAATTAAAAATATTAATTGATATTGATGTTGCATTTTTAATTTAATTATTCCTATATTTTATGCAAATGTAATCCAATGTTCGGAAAACAAAATGTTTGACTAAACAACATCTGTACCTACAATATAATGTTATATGAAAATAAATAACAATAAAAAAAGACAGACATACTTCGCGTAATGGGTGAGCCACTGTAGTAGGTGAGAAATTGGGGAGGTAGGATATTAAGAGGAATTTAATGTGTATCTGTACTCAAATATTAATTATTGCTAATGAAATACGATTATGAATGAAGTTCGGTTATTGGTACATGTTTTGAAAGTTCTTAATATTTACGATTTTCGTTAACATTTTATATTAAAATTTTTATGAAAAAATTCCAAATTAAACTAAATTGTTTAAATTTCAATCATTTTTGTTTGGTCTAACAATTTTATTCACAGAGTACATACCGAACAAAAATTAAGTGAAAAACTCGTGAAATTAAAATGCCTATAAATACATTAAAAATGACTCAAATGTTTTGAAAATTTGACCACGTCTAAAAAATGCAAATATAAGTTTTTCTATTTTTATTTTAAGTCTCTAATAATATTTTTAATTGAATCACAATAAAAACAAAATTAAAAATAATACATTTCATAAATTAATTCCCGTTGTTCTTACGTTTTTTTACAGTTTTTCTTAATTCCTATGAAAATTGCTTTAATAATCGAAAAAACTATATCATTAAAGTACCACCTAAATAAAATTTTCTTTTAGTAAAAGTGCTATACTTGAAAATCGGAGCAAGATTTCTGGTAAAAAAATTGTTTACTGATAAAAAATAAATTTTAAAATTAAATCATTGTAAAACAAATATATTCCTCTCTTCGATCAGAATCTAAAATACCATTGATAGGCAACTGACCTACAGTTGTAGGTGGGAGGATAGGATATAGGATTATTTTATTTATAAACTCAACGCAACGACGAATTATTAAAAACAAAGTGGAGCTAAGTTAACTGATTGCCATTAAAATCATAAAACTCATTTGCAATGTACAAAAAAAAGTTCGGAATTGAATTCTTGTATGGAAATTTGAATTAAAAAATTTTACTTCGTATATCGTAAAACACGGACACCAAATCTGTCCACCTATTTTTAAAACGTTTTATTAAATAAAGAAATGGAAAAATGATTTTTCCACGCTATAGATTTTTTACAAAACCGATGTATCGTCATATTTTGATTTTAGTTTTTAACCTTTTGAAGAAAAAATATTGAGAATATAGAAGGATGTTTCAAATAATCTACCCCATACTTTTACACGCCATCTTTATAAATATTATAATATGAGATCTTTCTCACTCAACTTAAAATCTGAAAATTAATTCATGCCAAACCTATTGGCACATAATTAATAAAAATAAAAATGGGCTTGATAATTTTTTTGTTGTTCCGAAAAAATTACTCTATCACCCATACTATTATAATTATTAATATACTTATTAATTCGATAACTATTAGATTTGTACAAGTATTGCACTATTCTTAAACTCAGAAAATAAATGAAAAGACTTAAAAGTTATAACATTTTTAAGATATATTATAATAAAAACTAAAAATAATAATACTAGGATAAATGATAAAAAAAATGTTTACTTTCTTGAACAATTTAAAAAAAAAAAAAAAAACCAATTCTCAATAAAAGTAAAACGAAATATATATATATGTACAGGTGGTGTTTTAGGAAAATGTCCCAACAATCCATAAAATAAATAATAAAAAAAATATGTTTAAACGTTCTAAAATGATTTACCCGGAAACTTGACTGGTTGTACACGAGTAGGTATAAGTACGCATAAATAAAACTAACTAGAATAATTTTCGTTTCGTTTCGCTATACTTCCGGAATTTTTTTCGGTTTATTTATTTTTTTTCGGTGAAATTCTCTCATATATTTTATTATAATAAGACAAGTATTCATAATAGACTCTTTGTGTAATTTGTTTTTTATTTACATTGGTATGCTATGTAGTGAAGTCAAATATATAGAGTTTATTTGAAAAGTTTACCGAAAAAATTCTTATTTTTTTTTATTTTTATAACTAATATTTAATTTTAAAATATGTGAAAACATCGTTTAAATTATTAAAATCGATTTTCAAATGTTTTTTTTTTTTTTATGATAACGACAGTAGCCAATGACTTGGTATGTAATCATTGTTATCAATTGACTTGATAATATGACGCGCCGCCGTGTCGGATTGACGGTGCACCATCAAATAGCAGTTACTTTACGCGGTTTATTTAGCCGTTTATGGTGAACCGTCGCATTGAATAATTTCCAAAAATCGTCTTGAAAAATTCACACGTTGTCGATACGTTTCAAAATTGAATTGAAACGTGTAAAAAACACGACTTTACAATGCAACTATTTGAGTTAATTAGATTACTTGGACATTATCGACGGATTTAATTTCCAGGCTAACAACAAATTGATCACGAAGTCTCTATTATATCATTATATTTTGTAATAGACAATTAAAATGATATTGCCTTGTTGTCGAGTAACGTTTTGATCGAATAGGTATAATGTAATATTATTATCGAATAACAACACCGTCACCGGACGAAATATCACAATAATACGGGGCGCGCGCTCGCTGCTTTGATAATAGATATCAACTAGATACACAACAGTTTTCACTTATTGTGTCGCGGCGTGTTTGCTCTACAGCATCTCAACGGCGACGTCCTTGTCGTATAATAATAATAGGCGATATCATTAATAATAATACATCGGGGCCGCGTGACGCGAAACAATTGTTACGAAAACGGTATATAGGTATTGTACGCGATACATATCCTGTATTTTCTATGTTGGTTTGGTTTGTCAGCTGCCAAAATAATACACAGGTAACATCAACGCATAATACCAAAAATGTCTCGTGCGATTAAACTGGCCAATTCGTTTTCCGAACGAAAGATAACATTAATACAATAACGATATTGTGTGTTACGTTAAACGAGATAAAAAAAACCTAACAACCATATGTAATCATATTATGTAGCTTACTGTGTCTTGTGTTCGAAAATCATGAGCTCGTACGTCAATAAGTGTTTATCTATATACGAACGATCGAACGTACCAATACGAATGAATGTAAAGAAATTATTATTCCAGAATAAAATCCGCCGATTCCTACGTACTAAATTACATAATGTGATGAAAATAATTGTAAGAAAAAAAAAAAAAAAACAACAACAACATAATATCAAACACAGAATTTGCTGTGAATTTGTCACGGACACGTTCGGATCGACGTAGATACGTCAAAACGTACTAACAGACGGACAGACAAAACAAATAATATTAGCACGTAAAATCTATAAAGATAAATAAGGCATACAAACCGCACACAATATAGTATGACTGCTGTGAGCAGATTATATTTTTATACCCAATAATATACTACACTATTATTAAACTGTCATTTGGGATTTGTCAGCGAAATGAAATTGAGTAATGATGTTGCGAACACGTGATTCGTGCGGTTTTCGTTTTTCAGTGGCGTAGATACTCAAGGAACGGAGGCGGTGATGTTGATGGTACATCGCCGCGCAAAAAAGTAGCAGAAGTTATCTTCTATAGACGATACACAAAAAAAAAAAAGAAGCCGATACTGAGGATAGGAGCGGCTACTGTTGTAGGTGAGAATTTTGAAGGGTAGGAGACCCTTAAGGTTATTTCATTTGTATCTGTAAGCAACGATAAACCATTGCTTGACAAAAGACGATTCCGATCCCAGTTAGGTAATACATAATTTGAACCACGTCTCGGCAAGTATTCTTACCAAGTTTCAAGTTTCTACGTGTATTTAAAACCGAAAAACAGCAAAAAACTCCCAAAAATTAAAATTCTTTAAAAGCTCAAAAGTGGCTCAAAATTTTTGTCGATGATACCGTAAGAAAGTAAATTAAAAAGGCAACAAAAAATGCGTCTTGTGATTTTTTTTTGATTAAATTATTTCTAGTAGAAAACGCTCTCTGTGTTTTTATAAATAATGAAATCGTGAAATCGTACGTTTTCCTACGTTTTTTTCTCATTTAAGTGCTTTTGTTTAAAAAATGGCATTGAAAATCAAAAAATATACGTTTAATGTGCAATTTAGACAACTTGAGCTTTCAGAAAGGTTGCTGCACTTATACATCGGAGCAAATTTACTAGGAAAAAGCGCGTCCACAGACTAGAAATAAAAATAAATAAACATCTTAGTAAAACCAATAGTTCCTAGCTACGCTCGGAATCTAAAATATCCAGTAGTAATAAATATAGTTACGCATTCTTTCTCGATATTTCTAAAAAAATATATATCAAGCTCCCCCATCCCATAAAAAAAGATATCTCCTATTTATGCAAGTGTTTCGAACATAGGTAAATCATTAGATCTCATGATTTTCGAACACATGAAAAACAAAAAGGAAATCGGTTTCACGTCAGTGTAGGTCAGTGTAGGTACATGATTTTTCTATCGGGTGCCACGAATAATTACCTGCCGGACCTGATCGAGTTATCTGTAAATTGATTAAATGATCCGATTTTTTTTTTTTTTTTTTTGAACGGATATAAATATTATATCAGATACTTGTCCTATAAGCCGAAAAACAAAAAAATAATAAAAACTCGATTTGTTTTATGTCACCGTATATTACACTTAGGTATGTTATCTAATTCGTCCGTTTAGAATGATCGCATATGTTTTATTCGTATCGCATTAATAACGGATAGCGCGGTACGCAAAAAAAAAAAAAAAAATATGTACCTACCGAAGTAAAAAATGTATATAAACGGCTAGGAAAAAAAAAACCCCCATAGCAAATATCAGTCTTTTTCGCTACACATTAATAATAGTATGCGGGATTGATTTGAACTTTTTTTTTTTTTTAATATGTAAGCCACGCGTTACAAAATTATTATATTGCCATTGTTGTAATCACACGTCACGCGAAATAAATTAAAAACTAAATATTTTCAAGTCAATCATTCCGAATAATACAAACGTATCGTTGAACATCCGAGTGCGAGAATTTTAAGTGTTTCGTCGTTATATTATTAAAATATGTTCAATGTATTTACTGTACTAGGACTACGTCATATTTTCCCCGGCACTCGTATAAAACTGTAATTGAAGCGCTCATCTGCAAAAAACAAGCATCCATCAAAGGGACGTATTTTCTTTTTATCCAAAATTTGGTTAAACCATACAGAAATTATTTTCTCTGTGTCTATGGTAGACGACTTTGCATTATTTTCGCGCTAAATTATGTAACATTTATTTTGCTTTACTCGAAACAACAAAAAGCCATTTTAGGCTTCTCTTGTTGTTACACCGAACCTTCAAATTAATTAGAGAATATGATACAATATAAAAATAAAATATTTCACGGATTTGAAAATTTGTATGTAATAATTTAAGGAGAATGTATATTGTAGGGCTCGTGAAGACCTTCGCGTTAAAATTATCCCTTACGAACGCGCATTTCCGAACTAGATGCGTATCCTGTGTGCACGAGTTTCTTTAGTTGAAAAATGGAACACGAATTTTTCGACACGGAAGTATTTATTGATGAAATTTATTAATTCTATTTACTACGAACGGAAGCTCAATATTATAGCGTTGTATTCTTGTATTCTTTTATGTGCAGTTTCCTATATTTTAAAATTGCATATTTTAACGTTAAATTTCGATTTGTTTAAACGCATTATCTTTATTCCTTGTCGGTAAATACTAAATATACGAGTATGTTAAGGATATCCAGTCTATATGATAACCAATGTTAAGGCGTTGCCGTAATATTTTGTCTACATTCATTATTGAAAATACATTTTTTTTTTTTTTTAAATTCCAAATTATTCGAAACATAAAATAAATAATAACAAGTACCGGTATGGTTCTTATTGAGATCAAGGTTGTTTTCCTGTTCATATAGCGGTATTCATATACTATAAAACATTATATGATAAGGTAATAAATCCAAATAAATTAAGAAAAAAAAATTCAATATTTCGTAGTGTTGTGAAATATTTCACAATTCAAACGGTTCGAAACACAGTGGTAATAAGAAGAAAAAAAAAATATATAGATAAACAAAATAATGACATCTCGATGCCGAGATTGTACTAAATTATTGTAATATAATAATACGTGAAATCTCCTACAGTATTATACTTAATTACCTAATTAAAATCGAACAATTGTGGGGTATTTTTTGTTATATTTTCTCGGCCCGAAAGTGAAGAAATTAAAATTGCATAGATGCTGTTTTCTAAAATCGTTAAGTTAACGGGTGTCTCACTAGAAAAAAAAAAAAAATGTTTCACGGTCAAGGACCGAAGTATACAATAAATATTGTGTATTATAATCTACACCGTTTAAAAAAGTAATCCTTTTGTTTTTCGTATCCGTATCTAATAGATTCCGGACAATGAGTCATTGTGTCTTTCGAATAATATTTTTTGTAAATTTACGCACGGACACTTAAAAAAAAAGGATAACTGTGTAATATATTCGTATTAATTAATATTGTAATTTCAGTTTAGGCAAACGAAAAACTGCTGGCACGGTCATTATATTAACAAGGAATATTATTTATTAACACGGTTACCGCGGTCGTTGTTTCTCAAACCGTGCAGTTAACTATCTTTACTTTTTAGTTAATATTCGTAATATAGTGTAGTTCAATTTTAGAGGAGAAACTTCTGGAGCACAATGATTAATTTTTAAACAAAACTTGAATTATCTCGCATTAGCCACAACAATCACAACAGCACAACACTGCGGTTTTAGAAGATAAGGTATAGCAACATATGAATCTCCTCTGTATTAATTATGTTTATTTTTTTAATTTAATGGTGTTCAACATTTAAACAAATTTAGACAGAATTTTATGAACATGTGAACAAAATCTAAATAAAATATAATTATAATAAAATGATGTATTCAAATTAATTAAATTTATAATTTTTAAACTTAATCTCAAAGAGCAATACAGTAGTAATAAGTACAACATTAAACAAATATTATTAAAGAAAATATACATTGCCTATTTAGTTGTTATATATGTCGTATTGTGACATATATATTGTAGACAATGCATCACTATTAACTGAACTATGCTCAGAATCGTATTTTCAGAAGCAATGGTTAAATGCTGCTTACAGAACTACATTAAATTTCCATCTGTATCCTACCTTTCCAACTTCACTTACGACAGTGGCTGCATCCGTCCCTATTATCCTAGGACAGCTTTTTAGTATTACTCTTTTATCAATACAAAATTCATTTCAATGGTGAAAACGTTTTTTTTTTTTTTTGGAAATTTCCAAATTTCCGGCGGACAAAAATTTCTATACGGAATGATCAATATCTTATATGGCAGTCATTGTCTCGGAAAGTATTTTAACTGTTTTCAAAATGTCTCCGGACAATTTATGTTTTCAAAATTCTATACTTTTATCGTAAACAATTTTCGTACAGAAATATTTAAATCGTCAAGCCATTTGACGATTTAGATGAGATTTACATGAGATTTTTCTATTTTCGAGTTTGTCGTTTTGTGGGTGCAGGCTAATAATGTAGCACCATTGTTTTAGCGCTGCGGCACGTGGCATTTGAATATACTCTCCCCCAACCTAGAAAACGATAAGCTTAAAAGTGAAATATCTAGTCATTGGTTTGACGAAAATTAAATATTTCAATGCAAAATGTAAAAACTGTATCTACCTATTTATTGAATTTATAATAAAGTTTATCATTTTAAAATCAATGATATGTTAATGACAAGTTTCATCTCCAAACATCTGGGTTATAAAAAAAAAACAGGGTAATGTATTATTTTAGCATGTTAATTAAATTATCCGAAAAAAATTTATGATTTTCAATAAGTGTCTTATTTATCTTTCTGTACAATCCAGGATAAACTGAACTCGAATTATCGCAAACAGTTACAAACCATTTTTGACGGATTTACACGTATGATGCGACTTTTCATCGTTGTTCATTAAGCACAACACTTGAATTATTATCAAAATTACCGGATACAATTGATGAAAGGAATCGGTATATATAGCTGATCTAAATGGGAATACTTTGCGTTTTTTTTTTTTTTCTGAAACGGAAAATTGAACTAATTATTTTGTTTTATACACACCGTTCTGTTTGTAAAATAGATTATGTCCACCTACTAAGTACCTTATACCTGGTGTACCTTACATGTCATATCTCTAATAAGATGAGTCGACTTAGCCAATGCGGTTATTTCAAACGATCATAGATTTAAACGAGTTGTTTAACCGTGTCGTGCGGTATTGTTAAATACCTAGTTTTTCTAGTTTGAAAAAAAATTAAAAGTTGCCGAAAAAAATGAGCTGATAATGATCATAGATATACCGCTGTTTCAGGCGAGAGGTTGGGAAGGTAGGACACATATGGTAATTTAATTTATAGATTGTACGGAACGATAGATGATTGTAAGTAAAATATGATTCTGAATGGAGTTCATTTAAACGTATTTTGAAAAGTCGTGAATTTTATCGTCAAAATAAAAAATGACTATAAATAGCTAAAAAGAAACGCTAGAATGTTTGAGAAATACGTAAATAAATAAATTGAACATATTTAGAAAAAGTTAAGAAAAATATTCTGCGAAAACTTCAATTATACACGTTTATTTTTAATCGAATCGCGATAAAAAAAAAAAAAAACAAAAATCGAAAATAACGGAACTCGTTATTGTGTAAATCATCTCGTTATTTTTTTTTTTTCAAGTTTTTTCGCGATTTGTCCAATTGTACAGAAAACTGCTAAGAAAACCAATATGGATATTGACACGACGTGCCGTCAGAAAAGACTTTACACTCGGAAATCTGAGCAATATTTCCGGTAGAAAAATAGATCGCAGACAGGAGGAAAAACGCACGTCGTACAGTAAAACCAATACGTTCCTCCTCGCTGTGCTCAGAATCCTAAGTTTTTTTTTTTAAATCCGTTTAAATTCCGAGAGTAGCCCTGCGCCTCAAGTACAACGATAGTATTTTCATATTTCGAACGTTTTTTTTCAGATTTGGTATAGCGATTGCGCGTTCGCGGCGACGCGCAATCGACCGTACAACAACAATATCTTACTGCGAAACGCGGAATATTGGTTGCCCGCAAACGACATAATGTAAATAGAACCGCACGACGATTCCCGCGGAAAGTGTACCGGGATTAGTTTCCGTGCGCACATGGAGTCGATTTTCGAACTCACGGTGTTTATATTAGATTATTAAAACCGCTGCGGCGAAAGCCCGGCACGGCTGCAATATCGATACGCGGGTACCTATGCAAATAACACAACTTTATATTGGGAACGACGGTCGCGAGATTGCGTGCGATCTCGTAAGGAATATTGTTACGGCCGTACGCCGCACTTCGGAACTGTACGCGTTTCGCTCCGTAAGTTCGACTCGCACGTCCGGATTTTTCACCAAATTTGAAATTAAACGAAACGACGCGATATTACACCGCGATTGGGGCTGCGGCCGGTAAAATGCGTGTACGTAGTTTGTACGATTGGCACGAAGAACGCCGACGGACTGGCGGAAAATATTAGATATTAACGTATTTAGCGAAAGCGCGTGATTATTCGCAAAACACGAACACGACCGATGGCGAACTTGTATTCAAATACGTAAAGCTTGTCATTCGAAAATATTTTTTTTTTTTTTTAATTCTGCACGTGACTAGGAATGTATCGGTTTTACAACTTTTCTACGAGATATTCGGCACCAATCACAAAATCTAAAAAAATCTTTTTTTTTTTTTTTTTTATTTTGAATCTAGTTGATGTATTGAAAGGTCGGCTTTTCATTTTCCGAGAAGTTTTCATAATCGTTGGAAAAAAAAAACATAGGGAAAATTGAAAAATTTACGGCATAACGGTTCAATTATTTTTAATTTGGTTTTTTTTTCTTTTGTAATTTTCAAATAATACTTAGGCATATTAGCCATTTTTTAGACACGATATAATTTCCAAACATTCTGGAGATTTTTGAGCTATTTTTAGACATTCGTCATTTTCGAGTTAACAGTGATTTTTATTATGCACATATATAAATCAAATTACCCTATGCATCTTACTTTCCCACAATACAGGCCACAATAGTCATGTACGAATAGTAAATACTATTAGCTCGTTTTTATTTTTAAATCATACCTTTTATATTTTTCCACGATAGTGTATCAATATTTTCGCTTTGTTATAGCTACTGCTTTGACATAACGTTTTCGATAATACGCCGATGCTTACCCAGTTCGACAATAGAAACGAATTTGTTCAGATAAATTGAAAATTGAATTCCGTTCATATTATTATATTATCTATATTTTTAATATTACGTTGACCATTTGTCGATTGCCGGATGTAAACGATCATCGAAATCCATAATGTCATACTCGCTCTGACGTTTTTAGTTTAAAAACAACGAATCGCTCTGTTGGTTTAGCGTTTATAAAGAGGAAAAAAATGGGAACATTGAATACAAATCACGTATGCAGTTTATTTTAAATAACTGTAGTTGCATCGTAAGAAATTATGATAATATCTTTTACACGGCAAACCTCCTATGACGATAATCACTTCCTGTCTCGACAATCCTGATTTATCGGGAAAACTAATAGTATTCTTAAGGTTAGGTTATGGTATAATAATATAATATTATGATGATGCTTTGTTAATCTCAAGAAAAAAAACTACGCGAGTTATTCAATTCTAAAAAAAAAAAACACAAAATAAATCAATAATAAAAAAAAAAATCTAAATTTCAACGGGGAGTTTTAAGAACTATCGATAAATACGTCAAAATAATAACAAAGGTTAACTTTATTTCTCAAGGAATTTCGGTTACGGAAATCACCTAAATGGATTCAAATAGACTGATAACAAAAACTAAATTATACAAATTATGAACGGTATAAAATAAACCGTTATCACGGTTCAATCCATTAAAAATACACGGATAAAAAATTGATGTGACTAAATTTACAATTAGTTACTTTCCTTAGAGTTCTGCATATTTCAAAATTAAAAATCACTTGGGTTGCATTTCGTACGCATTAATTTTGTATATTATTTTAAATGAAAAAACATTCAACATACAATACGTTTGTAAAAATATTTAATTTTATACAAATATATTAATGTGTGCCAAATGGTTCTTCATGGTTTTAAATTTAAGAAATGCGCAGAACTATTTGAGAAACTGTAATTGAGTCACATCAATTTTGTGCACGTGTTTTTTAAATAGAGTGAACCGTGATAACGGTTTATTTTAAACCGTCCATCTATTATCATTTTTTTTTTTTCGTTATCAGATCCGTTTGGGTTTATTATAGTACGCAGTGTCACAGTGGTAACGGGATTTATAAATTAATTTATAGAAAATCATGTCCAGAGCACTCGATTTCGAGTTGTGAGGGACGGGGAGGAGGGGAGAAATTGCAACAATGTAGGTCTGAACTACTTTGGGTTTACAGTTTCAATTCATAAAATCGTCCATGATAATGATGATAATTGTATAGTATAATACCTACTCTAATTTATTATGTTGAAATGGTTGATAAATTTCCGTAGTCGTATTTTCAGACGATCAAATTAGAATTAAATCGAATCGTAACTATACCTTGAACAATAGTAGTATAAATTGTCAATTAATATTTTGCGTCAAAATAAATTCAAAAACCATGTTCTTCGTGTAATCGCATTTTTCATAAACTGTTGCTGTTGTATCTACAGATTATGATATTGTTTACTTATTGGTTATCTATTACTAGAGTTCAGATGTTGTTGGTATTTCCTTTTTTTTTCTATTGGTCCAATATGAAGCTGCGTCAGCTACTCGTATAAATTAATGTTCTACTATGTAGGATTATTTGTACCTACTTAAAGTTTTATAATGCTTATCAGCCATTTTTTTGTTTTTTTATCTTTTAAATAGTTTTTCGGAGTTTTAATTAATAGGTAAAAGTGCTATTGTGATTAGCACGTTTTCAGGTTTTTTACTAATTTATTGCTTTATTTAGAGTACTTTTTATTATGTTTTATAAAGCTACAACATTCGAATTCTAGTCATTACTAACCATCTTTGTTCGCAAACTAATAATTATATGCGTACCTATTACGGGAAAATTTAGGAAAGTGAACCTGCGATAATTTGTCGTCTAGTTTCATTGTTGTTCTCCGTTACATATTTTAATGAATTTCTAAGCAGTATTTAGAGTACACGCGATATTGCCCGTCGGATATATCGTCTGTTCGATGTTGTTTAATATAAATCACGTAGATATATTAAATAGCTGCGGGTTATTCGATTTTCCGTTTACGAACGAACGGCTAAAAAGTAGCGCTGTCATATACCTACGGAGACAATTTTCTCTTTCGATTCTCTAAACAGTTCAATACGTGAATAAACACTTACCTATATTATAATAAGATGACACCTACGCGGTGGTGCCCATCGCAGATTGAATATTGAAGAAGGTCGCGACGGAAATCTGTTTCCCGTTGAGAAAATGACTCTGCTAGAATTGTTTTCTATTGTATATCTGTATAATAATAGACACTTATTCATTTCGTTATCGTTTTCGATTCGTTTGGCGTTTGAAATTGATTTAGGATTCAATACGATATATTAGTATTATGTTAACAACAAAATTGTAGGTTAGTTGGTTCGAACGTAATCGCAGAAATGTGTACAGCTAGTCCAGTCTAAACACGGATAATATATGTTACAATAACATTGTTAGATTAAACAGAAATACTTGAAAATTTGACAGGAGGTTCATTATAAATCAATGGAAAATTAACGGAATTGAGTACAATGAAGACATTTTTTTTTTTATACAAAAGTTTTGAAATCAAATTTGGACGAAAATCGTAAACATTACGGCCTTTCAAAATGTGTAAAACCAAATATTGCTCCGGATTGTTTTTCGCTAGCAACGGTTAATTTTCTCTTACATGTATAAACTAAATAATTTTATGTATTCTTTCTTCGGAACTTCATATTTACAACAATGACGCATCCGTCCCTAGTATCAGCTTTTTTATTATGGTTTATGTGTTTTTTTTCTTTCTGTAAACAACTTTCGAAAAAAAAAAAATCTTTCTTCAATATTTAGAGTGTAGAACCTTTTATGAAAAGAAATTGTACCTAGTTTGTTGCATTAAAAATGTCATTTTTTTGATTTGTCAAGGGTTTTTTAAAAAAAATTGTCCGTGTTTTAAACTGAAGTGCATCGAAGTAATATAGGCACACCGTTTTTTTAATTTAATTAATCAAATATTTAACTTATACTAGTACCAATAACAAATACATAAAAAAAAAAAATCGAATATTATAACGATTTCTACTTATGGTATAGTAACGTAATTGAAAAAAAAACAGCTGAATATATTTTTTAGAGTTAAACACTTTTATAAATCATTTGTATTCGTAATCAAATATTTTTTAATGAGGTACTCAAACTCGTATTTTGAATAAATTTTAAAACTATGTTTCAATTAACAGTCAACAAACAAAATATGTATTCAAAATCCTTTTAAAAAGTATCGTTTTAAACAATCCGTATACAAGTCTGCGATTAGTTATTAAATACTAAATACTAAATATATAAATGTCTGTAAATATAATTTAAGTAGTTGTCTGTCTGGCTATCTGTCCGGCCTCTGAAATTGTTGTCTCGATAAAAAACACTGCTTTAATAATTATTGTATTATTAATACAGTAGTATTATCTTATACATAAAAAATGAACACAGATGAAAAAAAAAAAACAGTTATTTTTAGTGAATTTAGTTGTCACTAGCAAGACATTTTTAAAAATTACGGGCAACAACGGTTTACTGCAGTGATAGGCACGGGGATGGAAACGGGGAAAACGATTTTATTATTTTTTTACATTCTATCAATATTGACACGGACAATGCCGTAGGGAATAGCTAGTCTTACATATAAAAGGTCAGATCCACGCGTCCGTCTACTTGTCTATATTGCTTTTTATCTAAAACTTAAAATGTACATTGTGGCATCTAGGTTGAAATTGGAATTCAAGCACAACTAAAAAAATTTGAAGAGGAGAATATTTTCCATGGCTGTACCATTTCCTAAAAAAGCTTATAAACAAAAAAAATGATTGCGATGTTAATTATCGTATTTTCTTAATAGCTTTAATCCTTTAAATTTTAAATTCCGAAACGAAAATGTATTGGTTTTACAAAGATGTTTATTTTTTTTTTCTACCCAAAAATTGTACTCCAATGTATACGATGTCGACTCTTTTCTGAAAGGAAATTTTCTTGGAGCGGTACTTTAAGGAGGTCATTTTTTTATTTTCTCAGCATTTTCCCAATAAAGAAGAAAAATAGAGAAAAAACGAAATAATGTACAAATTATATTAGTAAAATACTATGATTTTTTTTTTCCTGTGGACAAATTTTCTACTAGCAATAATTTTGCTCCGATTTATAATGATAGTACTTTTTCTAAAAGGAAATCTGCCTCGAAAGGTATTATAAAGAAGTTATTTTTCGATTTTTCCAAGAATTTTCTCAGCAAATATGAAAAATCGGGACACCCGTGGAGAAATCGGAAAAAAACTTAGACAAAATCAGAACAATATTGAACAAATATTATCGAAGAAAATATATAATGCCTATTTAATTATTGTACCACTAGCTAGCTATCCCACGCCCAGCGTTGACCGTGCCAATTTGTATTATTATTTTACCCATATTCATTTTTGATTTTGGCTGTATTAGAATTAAATGAAAACAAATAGGTGGGAAGTAGGTGTCCACTTCTGGCAGACTAAATGTGTTATATCGTGAAATTTGAATAGTATAAATAATAGTAATAATAATAATTACAATAGTTTTCTTTTCCATGACAATCCTTGAATAAACAAAAATAAATAAATAAATAATTTGATATTCGTACCAAATATAACTAAAAACCCTTATTTTACCCCCTTAGAAGTTGAATTTTCAAAAATCGTTTCTTAACGGATGCCTGCGTTATCATAGCTATCTGTATGCCAAATTTCAGACTGATCCGTCCAGTGGTTTGGATTAGGTGATGATGAATCTGTCAGTCAGGACATGTTATATTACATATATAGATAATATAACATATATATATTGTTGGGCATCACTATCACTATATTTAAGCATCACTATCAACTGAACACCGCTCAGAATCGTTTTTAGTAAACAAGAGTTTTTTCGTTGCCTACAGATACAAACTAATTTCCTCTCTATACCTCCTAACTTCCCAACTTCTCACCAACAAAAGTAACTGCACCCATCGTGCGAAGCATGTTCGTCTTTTTTTATATTATGTTTAAATTCTATTTTCAATCTAAACGCCACAATCTATGTTCTAATTAACGTATTTTGTCGGTGCGTAAAACACACGGGTATTGCATAATTGTAATCAACAAATCGTAGATGTAACTAAGTCATACACACCTATTTATAGTTTATCAATTATTACGCCTGCATTACAACTTTGTGTGATAGTGCACTGAGTTTCCTAAACTGTAAATGCACATCGAGTTGATTGTTCGTCTTATTGTTGTAGTCAACTTTTACCAGATTGGCGTGATTGAAGTATAATAAATTGTTGTCAGTTGATCTATAATAATTTAATGCAATTTTAAGTTCAGCCTATATATTAATCCGTGTGCAATTTTTTGCACGCAATAATAGTTTTTTTCAATATTAACAACTAAATTTAAATTTAAATTTAGTTAAAACGGTTGGTTTCGTTCATATTCGTATACAGGAAAGTTGTTTCCATAAAGATTTACAGCATTTGGATTTAGCTCGTTTAAACATTTAAATAACCGTTTCAACCAGACATATGTGACGGGCATCATACAACTAGTTCTATAATAACTATCGTCGCTGAAAGCGAGCTATTAAAAATCATACAGACAGCCGAGAAAAATGTTATACAAATATTGTATTATATATAAATTTAAAAAAAATTATAAACAATTTCTTAGTTTTCATTGATACTGCGGTACCGGTATGATGCTATAACAATTTTTTTTTAAGTGAAAAGTTAACGTATTCATTATAGACAATCGATATGGGTTGCCTGTTATACTATCGTTATTTATTTGTATTTAAAAAACTTTGATAATAATTACCATACTATAAAAATAATTAATAAGTGTCAATAGGTACATAGTAAAAATAATGTACAAACAAAAGTTTATATGTCCATACGTCTCATAGGATTATTTTAACCGACATATTTTTTATTAGATTTTTTTCTATGTATTGGTTTTACACAGATTATTACACATTTATTTATTTTTTTTTTACATGAACATTTTCTACCAATAAGCCTATTCCGATTAACAAGTACAGCACTTTTTCTGAAAGGAAATATTCCCTGGGTGGTACCGAGCTTTACAAAATAAAATAAATTTCGATTTCAATACATTCTTTTAACTATTAATCTTAATATTTTATTTCATTATTCTATACTAATGCATCACTAACAACTGAACACCGCTCAGAATCGTTTTTTCGTTAGCAATGATTTATCATTGCTTACAGGTATTGTGCGATGATAAATTACAATTATTTTATTATACGAGATAATTTTAATAATTTTTATTTTTGTTTGTATCTAGATGATATTGCATCAATTAATTTTGTATTTTTAAACATAAATACCTATTCTATAGAATGTATAATATAAGATACTAATCTGCGTTTTAACATTTCGCATATAGGAATCTAAAAAAAATCGATTATTTATATTAGTTAATTTGAATTATATTTCAAATATATTCAATAATGTAACCATTAATCAATTTTAAAATTATATTACCCAAATTTTTTCGATAGTTGTGAAAACAATGCCCGATTTCCACGAATAATAATTTTAAAACATGACATCAACGAGTTTTTTTTCATGCAATAAAACAATATTAATAAATTGTTCATTCGACTGTGATAATTCCAAGAACATTATCTTAAAAAACGAACTATTACACAATGTACATTAATATCTATACAAATATAATAAATAAACTACATCGAATTCAATTTTACTATAATTAGGTAAATTTACGAAATAATATCGATTAATTCGATGAGAATGGTTTTACAAATGACTATTTTATTAAGTTTCAGGGTGATGCATTTTTTGTTTAGTAAAAACATAGTATCATATATTTAATCAACACTTTATTACATAATATATTTATGTTTAAATACAAGAAATGTAATGTATGCAATATTTAAGAATCTTACTTTTTTTGGGGGGGGGGGATCAAAATAAATTTAAAATGGGTAATCTTATTTTAGAGACCTTTCGTTTAAAACATTCGCAAATAATAGCAACAGTTCGTAACACAAAAAAAATATATCGCTGAACCTTATTATAAAATTAATAATATTTTTGTTAGCTTACGAACGGATCATCGGGTATACTTTTAAAGTATCCTTACAGAGTAGTTAAGGGAGTTTGGGAATTAAATTGGTAAAAAAAAAATTCTGTAAATCGTGAGACTTTTTACTGTTCTGACATCCTGGTTCTGTGTAAAAAATGTTTTACCACGACGAAAATAATAATTACAGGATGTTATAAGTAGCTGTATCAAATTTTAATAATTCCGATATTTTATGTTTTGTTGATATAATAATTACAGATACTACGTTTACTTAAAAAAATCATTATATCTATATAATATTCAGCCCAAATTTAATGCATTTTACTATATATTTTAGAGTTGGCATTTACATAATACCCATAAGCCTTACATCGATCAATTCAGTGCCAATAAAATAATAAATATCCAACAAAACTTCAACACCATACGGCTGACGGGTTTTATGTGTGACAGATCGGGAAAAATGTATCCGGATCCAGAAACTCAATGTCAGGTAATGTATAATTTTATTTTTTTTATGCGGTACTAAATTAACTATACGGTAAAGCTACCTGTTACCCGATTATAAATTTCAGGTTCATATCGAAATACTCGAAAATCAGTTCTTGTAATTTTGTTTTTTGAAAAAAAAAGGATCATATTATTAGACTTTCGTTTAGTTAAATTTCAACTTACTCCAAAGTAAAAAGCGACATTCATAACTGCTGTCATATTGTATGAAAACTGCATCTAGACCAGTTTTGGGCGATTGTATACTTCCATGGATCTACTTCATTTTATTTAAAGGCTCCATAAGAGAGGTTGTAAAATCTCCCGGGTATACATATTTTAGTTAACGTTTTGGCGATGTTAGTAGGAAATTTCTATTTTGAATTTCTAACTTTGTTATTATACATAGACCCTTGATTATTTAACAATTATTATTGTATTATAATAGTAGGATATATTATACTTAACATACACAAAGTGATCATCCTAGCGTTCGACACTTATTAACTCAGAAAGTATTAGCATTTTTAAAATTATTTTGGAAAATTTAAGAATCAAGCAGCTCCAAAATGTAACATTTCTGATACGTTTTCTCACCCTTAATTTTGGGATAGAAACCACTACCCTATTTTGATTTTCAAATTTTACCCTATATTGAGAATTCTATAAATGGATGAAGTTTTAATTTAAACTCAATCATTATCCGTTTATGAAATTTCCAATATATAAATAGTTCGTTGATTAAATATCAAAGATAGGTTGTGCTTTCGACTTCTGAAATAAGGATTACAAAAAATAACAGTAATTGATCATTTTAGAACATATTTCTGAAATGTTTTAAAAGAAAAATTTCGAAAAAAGTAAATGCTTTTTAGATAATGAGTAGGTTACGTATCACCGTGGATAATAAATATTATATAAATAAATGAACGGAAATGATAATGTCGCGCTTGAGTCTCGGAGAGAGCCACACCAGCGGAAACGCTTTATTCCCGCAAAAAAAAAGAAATTCGGTGGCGTCGAAAATCATTATAAAAACATAAGTTTTTTACCCAGAGAAGTCCGTATATTAATGTTAACGATTTTATCCTTCTTCGTGTGTACATATACGATTTTGGCAGTCATGTGTGTAAGCGTGTGCGTTCAAAGTTATAATGCAAAAAACGCGTTCTAAAACACAAATCAAACACTCAACGACCGGCGTGTTTTGTATACGATGGGAAGCATGAATAAATTAAATCGGAGCTGGGACGAGGATTACTAATAAAATTCGGCGCGCTCTTGTATAAATAAATAAACCCGGTGAGTGGATAGTATTGCGTAAAAAGTCCAAACGCAAAAACCAAACAAATAAATAAAAATAAAAAGACAGCTAATACGGCTGAGGGGTGTGCAACTATTGTAAGTGGAATGCTAAGAAGATAGAATACATAGAGTTATTCAATTCATATGCGTAAACCATTGATAACGAAATACAATTCTGAGCAAAGTCCGGTTGTATTGCATGTTTCGATGATCGTTAATTATCAACGATTCACGGATCGGTATTCATAACGTAATATAAAATATTTGCATACATACTGATTTGAAATGTGTATGCGATTAACATTAATAATATTATATTTTTTTAACAAAACTTTTGGTGTAGTATTAACCGTTTATATTTACTTTTTATATGTATATATATATATATATATATACCAATCCGTAGGTTGGTTTACAGCTTGTCTTCACGATTCTAAACGGTCACTTAAGCCATTCATTTCAGTTCTCCATAACCTCCGGCTTCTTCTTGATTTATCCGACAAAAGAATTGCGAGGTCTCCCAGATGGTCGTTTTCCTTTTATCGTGCCTTCAATATAATTATACTATGCAGCTCTTCCGGTTGCCTAAGTGCTGGCTACAACACGTTTGGGCATTATAGTCTATACTCTGTGTTGTTAATAAAATATAATATGTATATATGTGTATTATGTGTGCAGGTTTTACATACATTTTTCTAACTTTAGTAATAACCGTGCGATTATCATAATATGGTTGTGAAACGGAACTTATTACAATAATACATATTATTATTGTATGGTGTGATAAAGTGCGATTTCATAAATGGCTGACTGATGTATCGAAAATATTTATAATCCATTTGTAATTTCTAACTATTCATTTATACGTTTCTCGTTGAGCTCACAGTATTTAACAGTCCGCAGTCGCTTATTGAGTATTACACAGTACAAAGTGTGTGTCGTACGAAACTTGTACAAATTAATTAATTATGTTTTAACTATGAACTCCATACAAATCGTGTGTCATGTTTATACTGATTTATTTGTATTATTATACAAATCTGACTTAATACTTAACACATATTATATAAATATATACAGAAATGGTTAAGTAAAGGGGGGATGATGGGGCGTAGGCACAACTAAGGTGAAAATTCTGGGGAGGCTATAGTTTTAAACAAATTTATTTGTTTAAATTTGAAAATATAATATTGTATTATATTATTATAGTCATACAAATAAATACAAATAATTATTATGAAATATTAATGTATCTAACTATATTTTTCATAACGGGGGAGCTATTTAGAAAACTGGAGGAACTTATTTCCCCAGGCCCTCCCTAGTTATGCAAACGTCAGAGGATGATGCATCCCTAATCATCTCATTTGTCTTCGTCTTTATGAACATGAAACATTGAAGTATCATTTAAACGTTCTTGAGACATTGGTGATGTGAGCTACGTCTGAAGTCTCTGAAGTGCAGAACTTTCTGCTGTAGAAGAAAATACTGGTATTGTTAACAAAATTCTTAATAGTTTATTTAACTCTGGTAATAAGTCATATAGTATTTTATCATTACAGAAACGATCAATGACACTTTGAGTGTTATAAATTAAAATACCTCTTGTGTTTCCTATATCTAAAAACATACCTCTGACATGACAGGTGTTCAACGACATTTTCATCAGTTATAGTCTTAGCGCGGTTATAGTCTTCATTAATCAAAAAATAACCTCTCTAATGCACCAACTAAATAAAATTTCCTTTCAGAAAAAATGCTACATCGGAGTAAGGTTTTTCGTAGAAAAGTTTTCTCGCTACGCTCCGAATCTAAGAAGAATCAAACTTAATTATTTTTAAACTAAGTTCTTTTTCGTTGATTTTAAAGATAACATAAAAAAAAGTTCCAACTAATAATTTTAATGAGAAGGGAGGCAGAACTCTGATTTTACTATTTCATGAGAGGCTTCAGTCCCGCATACCCCGTGTACTTGGCGTCTATATACATTTGAGGGACGTTATTAACATTTTTTTCGAAATTTCCATTACTCACCCGAAAAATGTCTATCTGTTTAAGTTTGTTTAAACACATTTGATGAGTGAAATGTTTAGGTTTTTTCCTGAATTACCTTAAAGAATGGAATATTTTTACGCTCAGTAGTACTATAAATACTTTTGAAATTTTTAATTGTTTTTGCCATTTTTTAGTTGTTTGTTTTTTATTGATTTCTCAGTTACCTCGACAAAATAGAAAAATTACATTCAGAATTGTTATTCGTTCGCAATGATTAATTCTCACGTCTTGGTCCCGGTATAAAAATTAAATTGTCCTAATACAGAATATATAATATATATATAGGTATTTACATACTACTTTCCTGAACTAACCACCTGCACTGGTGTGGCTTACCCCATGCTGCAGAGAACATCCGGCGTTTTATAGTCATAGATTTTTATTGTTTTAAGTGTAGTGATAGAAACGTAGGTACCTATATAATGTGTTTTCGAATTGTTGATGTATTTTTAAAAGATATCACTGGATTACCGGGCATTATAATATTATGTTCCGCGGTGGATGAAGGTTAGGTAGTTACGAAAACCACATCAATTATTCCCGCCGAAACTGTGGTCTGCAACAGTATAATGTATCGTATAGCTAATGGGTCTATATTGCTAATTTACCAGTAGCGACTACTAACCCAACAGAATTAAGCAGAACTCACGTTAACAGGTTGCGGGCGTTTTTCGTGCACATGTAGTATACTTTGTATACCCGTAAGACATGTGCTTTTACAGTTTCATATCAATTAAACCCAATCGACCGCGACAACTATAACATAATATGTTTGTAAAGTTTATAAATCGCTTTTAATGCATCTCCCTCCAAAGTAAACCGTTTAATACATTTTTAGTCAATAACTGTCGTGATTATTTTTGAGGATTTTAGTAGATCGAAATTTGAACTGATCGTATCTGCATTCTTTCTGACGAGTATATGTTACCGAAACTGTAATAACTAAAAATAATCGAAAAATGGCTTTAAAAATGGATTTTCTAAATAATATTCGACTCACCAATCAAAGTTTATTCTCGCTGTTAAATCCATCATCCGCACACGGCCATAACGGTTATCGCGTATCGTTTCGGTTCGGTCCACGTCCGCGTGTCGTACGTTCCCTGCAGTGTCGCAAGTCGTAAACCATCACGTTGATATGCTTAAAATAATATTCTTCCCCATCTATTAACGCTATGAATTTAGTTTGATAGGGTTAACGATTCAGTCCTATATTTTTACAATGCTCATTTTTAATAATTATTTGTATTGTACGAGTATACACGCATATCGTTTTCCTCCCACTCCGCCGTCCGCGGCAGGTTAATTAACTCGGACGGAGCAAGCATTTTATAGCATTTAGCATAGTATAGCAATTGTAAAACAAATGGTTTTACAATTGGAAATGCTGGCGATTAATTCGTGTATAGTGGTTAAAAAAAAAAAAAAAAAAATTATAATATACTTATAATAATACTGATTTACATATTGACCATAGTTGTGTTTTTGCAACAATCGGATTAACGAAGTAATCCGTTTAATCCGAATCGATTAAATACGTTTTTCCATCTGGATTTCGGATCGATACAGGTAACTGCTGCACTGCTCAGCGCTTTAGTTAATTATGTCGATGCGCGTTACGAACAGAATGTATAACACACATCGCGTTTCGGAATCGTGCACGCCGTGGAATATTATTAATAACGCGGGCACGACGACGGCATGGTTAATGAACACGCGCAGGTACCCATTATACGTTTTAATGTTTCTTTATAATAAAATA